GCCAGCCACGCGCACGGCGCTGACATCGGAGAAGGACTTCATGATGTCACTCAGCGTGGCGCTGGAGAAGGCGTGGACCACCTGCGAGCTGTTCCCCGGGACCGCGGCCTGCGCCACCTGCCAGACATGGCACCCGTGAGCCCCGGCACGGCCCCTGCCCCCCTGGGAGCCCAAGCCCCCCCCCGGCCCCGCACCTCCACAAAGGCCCGCTGCCAGGCCTCCAGGATGGCGCCTGCCTTCTCCTCGCTCCAGTTGAGGTCGTGGATCTCGTAGTCGTCCTTGAAGTGCTCGTACAGCTGCCGCCGGCTCATCAGCAGGAACATGCTCTGCAGGGCCTCGGCGCTGTGGGGGGCACCCGGTCAGGCTGCCCCCTAGCCCCACCGGGCAAGACCCAGGAGTCCGGCTCCTGCCCCATCCTGCTCCCCTTGCAAAGCCAGGAGGGAACCCAGGAGTCCTGTCCCGGTCCTGAGCCCCCCCTGCCCCCCACCTCCTCTGCCCACGGGGGACACGTACAGTGCCGGGCGCAGGCCCCAGTCTCATGTCGCGCTCACCTCTGCAGCCGGCCCTGCGGGTCCCTGGTAGCACCGCCCAGGATCAGCTCCTCGTGCCACCGCATGAACTTGCGGGAGAAGCCGTGGCAGCCACCGGCCAGCTCGGCTGCCACGTCAGGGCTCTGCGGGGCAGCAGGCGTCAGCGGGGGCAGATATGGATGCGGGTGGACCCTGGGGCGGTGGCAGGGGGCTCCATTCCCCACACCCACGCCCAGCACCGACGGGTGGAAAGGGGACACATGCATGCAGGCCCACGCAACTACTTGTGTGCACACACCCACAAGTGCATGCACACCTGTGCACATGTGCTCACACCCTCACAGGTGTGTGAGGTTACACCCGGAGTGACCACGATACAGGTACGTACACCCAGACATTCACATGCATGCACACACCCACACATACACCTTGTACATGCTCAGACACATGCATGCATACACACACATACACACTGACACATGCACACCTCCACCTGTGCACATGCATACACACCTCTCCCACACACGGGCACACCCCCCCTCATATATGCACACCCCGACACACATGCACACCTCACACACACATGCTATGTCCACACACAAGTGCAGACACCAGCTGTCACAGATGCACACACCCACACGACCTTGCATATGCACACACCCCTCTCACACACAGGTGCATGCACCTCCACACACACACCTGCCCACCCCCGTGCACCCCCACCTGCCTGCTGACGCTGCCTGAGCCGTGGCCTGGGGCCTGCTCACCTGCTGGGTGCGGCGGTTGGGGGCGCTGGGCGGGCACTGGGGGTCGGTGGGCTGCAGGCAGGGCCGCCCCATGTAGGCCTGCCCCACCTCCGCCTTCTCCAGCAGCTCCCGGAAGCCCTCGAGCGGCGTGAACTGCCCCAGCTCCTCCATCAGCTGCCGTGGGTCCAGGTTGCTCCAGCAGATGTCGGGGCGGCCCCTGCGGGCCCCGGGGCATCAGTGGGGGCCCTGCTCCTTATTGCCCCCAGCCCCCACAGGCCCACACCCCCACCGAGCCAGGTCCAAGTTTCCCCAGGGGCCCTGGGAGCAGCTGACCCCGAGGGAGGGGGGCTGCTGGGCTCCTTCTGCAGATGGGAAAACTGAGGCACGAAGTCCTTCCATGCCCCCACAAGGGGCTGGGGCACGATGCCCAGCAGTAACCCCAGTCTGGGAGGGCTGTGACCCCGCAATGGCCAAGCCATCCCCCTGCACCCGCCGGGCACTCACGGGAGGTAGGCGGAGCCCCCCTGCAGCTTGGCGCCTTCCCAGAAGCAGTCGAGGGGCGTCAGGATCATGCAGGGGAAGAGCTTCTCGATCATCTGTGGGCGGCATGGGGGGGCGGTGATGAGCCACGGGGCAACGCCACCCCCGGCCCCCCGCCCGGCCCTGAGCCTCACCCGCTCAATCATGCCGTTCTCGATGACGGGGACGCCCGACTTGTAGCAGAGCTTGTTCAGGTCCCACGACCTGGGGAGAGAGCGGGGCAGGGGCAGTTCAGCCCAGGCGGCCCCTGCAGGCGAGAGGGGGCGGGGCAAAAGCACCAGGGGCGGAGCCATGGCAGGGCATGGTGCAAGAAGGGCAGAGCCCCGGCAGGGTGTGCTGTTAGGGGGTGGGGCCATGGCAGGGTGTGGTGTTAGGGGGCAGCACCATGGTAGGGCATGGTGTTAGGGGACGGGCCCATGGCAGTGTGTGCTGTTAGGGGGCGGAGCCATGGCAAGGTGTGTTGTGAGGGGGTGGAGCCACGGCAGGGTGTGGTGCAAGGAGGCGGAGCCATGGCAGGGTGTGCTGTTAGGGGGCAGGCCCATGGCAGGGCGTGGTGTGAGGGGGCGGAGCCATGGTAAGGTGTGTTGTGAGGGGGCAGGCCCATGGCATGGTGTGGTGCAAGGGGGCGGAGCCATGACAGGGGTGCGGTGCAAGGGGGCAGGGCATCAGGCCCACGGCATTAGGGGCGGAGCATCTGCAGCGTCTCACCCAGAGGGCACAGGGCAGGGGGAGCATAGGGAGGGGGTGGGGCTTTGAGGCTGGGCGGGGCTTGGCAGGCTCCGCCCCCGGTGCCCGACTTACTTGCCATAGAGCGAGACGCGGACCTTGCTGGCGGCCAGCGTGGCGCGGAGGTGCAGGCGCAGCGCGTCGGGCGTGAGCAGGTTGGCGCCAGCCGGGCGCGCAGTCTGGATCAGCATCTGTGCCGTGTACGCCGCCTCCTCGCCCAGCTTCTCCCGCGTGTAGCGCAGCTCCTGGCTCACGCGGCTGCCGGCTGCGGGCACAGCGCCGCCCTCAGTGCCTGCCCAGGACACTCCCGGTGCCCCCGCGCCGGCCCCGACACACACGCACACGTCCATACAGACACTCGCGCACACGCGCATGCACACAGAGATACAGATGCCTGTACACGTGGGCACGGATACTCGCATGCACATGCATCCACATGTAGATACAGATGATCGCACACATGTGCACACAGAGATGCATGCACTCATAGATGCACATGCACACGTGTGCACACGGATACAGCATCCATACAGATACAGGCTTGCGCACACATGCGCACACGACTGCTTCCGTGTCATCCCAGCAGCCTGCAGAGACCTCCTCCACCCGCCCCCGCCCTGTCCTTTCCCCGCCGTCCCCATCCAGAGCCACTGGCAGGATGTTTTGAGCAGCCCCAGCGCCCGGGGCTGAGAAAGGAGCAAGACACGGGCACCGGTGGCAGAGCTGGGGGGACGCTGGGATGTCACTGGTGCCAGCAGCGTCTCTCCTGGGACCCTGGCTCCCCCATGTGGGATCCCGGTGGCCATTCCCAGCCCTGTCCGGCGGTGTGCGCTTCCTGCCTCCCCCAGCTGCCTCCGCCAGTCCAACTCCCGCTGCTCGGGCACCACGAAGCCTTGCCTGCAGTATTGTCCAGCAGCTTTTGCACCGGCTGCACAGGGAGCCAGGAGGCAGCGCTGGAGACGCCACAGCCCTGCGAGCAGCTGAGCTCACAGAGAGCCCTGTTCGAAGGGCTATGCCCCCGATCCAGACCCTGGGGCACCACGACCCCACACATCAGCCCCCAGGCAGCCGCCTCACTGCCCCCGGCTCTGGGGCAGCCCCACGTCCAGCTGTCTCCCCACATCCCGGCCCCGTGTGGCTCAGGGGAAAACCCCTTCCCCCTTTAGGACAATGCTTGGGGCTGGTGCGCCCCTCGCCCCACTGCCTTGGACGCCCCCATACAGCAGGGTGGGAGCTAAGGGACTCGACCAAGGACACACAGGGGAGTTGGTGGCACAACAAGGACACAAGTCCAGGAGCTGGTGGCTTTCTAGGGCAGGCAACATGGCTCCCCCCAGCACAGGGGACACAGATCTCCTGCTGCCATGGAGCTGGGGCTGCTCGAGTCCCTGTGGGGGACTCAGCGTGGTCTCTCTCTCCCCCCACCCATGGCAGTGCCTTGGCTACAACAAGGCTGGGAGGGCCCAGCTGCAAGGGGAACCCCCTCCACAGGCTGGTGTAGTAGGGACCCCCCTGAGAGGGGCAGCCCCCCCCCAACCCGGGAGCTCCTGACCTACCCAGCACAGAGCTAGAGGAGAAATTGAGGCCATGGAGGCAAAGGGAGGCGGCTGAGGCTGCTCAGCTGGGCAGTGGCAGAGCCGGGAGCGGCTCCCAGGGCAGTGCTCTGACCCCTGGACAGGATGGCCTAGGTTCGGCCGTGGCGCGGGGCCTGCTTATGGTGACTGGGGCCACGACACCACTCTGCCACTGCCAGCCTGCACAGCCCTGGGCATGTCCTTGGACCCTGCGTCCCGGAGTGGAAGCTCTGTGGGCTGGTGTCTGCCTCTGCGCAGCTCCTAGCGCGACTGAGCCCGATCCCTAGTGCCTGTGTGAGCTTGGGTCCCGGGGGCTGTAGGACAGGCAAGCAGGGAGGGCTGAACGGGGCGGGAAGGGCAGAGCCCCCGGGGGAGCCGGCTCCAGCCCCCACCAGGCTGCTCCGGCCCCGGGAGGGATCCAGGAGAGGGGACCCCGCGAGGGCGTCTCCCCCGGCCACCCAGACACCGCGGAGCTGGGCGCTGGGCTGGTGTGGACAGGGAGTAGGCATGTGGGGGGTGACGGGCGTGTGTGCATGCGTGTGCATATGCGTGTGTACCCACGTCTGTGCAGGCATGCATGTGTATGGGTGGACATGTGTCTGCACGTGTACGCAGGCACATGTGTGTGCATGTGCACACGTGTGCGCACACATGCTTGAAGCTGCTTGGAAGCCGGGCGGTGCGAGGCTGCGGAGGTGGGTGCTTGTGTAAGTGAGGGTGTGCACATGCGTCTGCCTGGCCTTTGCCGCCCACTGCCAGGCCAGCGGTCCAGCTGCTGGGGTGCAATCCGCTGCAGCTGGGGCATGAAGACACGCAGCCCCCCGGCTCGCGCCCCCGCGCTCAAGCCCGGGCCACCGGCGGCGTTGCGGGCCGGATTAGCGGACTAGGCAGCGCTGAAAGGCCGGGGCCAGCGCGGGGGCCGCACCCCCACTCGCAGCCGGGACGCTGCTCTCTCCTCTCCCCCGGCACCCCGGGCCCTCGCCCCCACCGCGTTCCGGCCCCCGGCCTTCGCGACCGGGTGCCCCGCCGGGGTCTCTGCCCAGCACCCCGCAGCATGGCATGGACCCCCAGAAGAGCGGGGGAACCGCTTGAGCTGGGGCCTGCTCAGGGCTCTGCAGCATCCGTCTCCGCAGGCGCGGGGCTGCGGACTCGGGATGCTGATCGCGCCCCGCCGGCCGCGGGGACAAGCGGCTGCGGCAGCGCCGCGCTGGCGGCGTCCCGGGGG